TACAGAGATTTGTATATATTCTTTAGACAGCGATCATTGATTCATACAACAGAATTGACAGCTAAATAATTGAGCTGAGGTGCACCATGTTGTGTGCTGACAACCGCTAAAGTAGCTATTCCCTCTTGCTACTACTACTTCTACGGTAGTTACCATTTTTACTATGGACAGACTAAACAGAGTGTACTGATGCACACACACAACAGTACCTCAATACGGAAACAAAAAATAGTGTACATCTTATGTTGTAAAAAAAATTAAAATTAAAATTTGAATCGTTTTTGTGATGGCACAATTATTATAGAGGTAAGAGTGACGACGAAATCAGCTTTAATTAATGAACTTCAAATTTGTGATACACATCAACACCAAAATGTTACTGTCCAAATTAAACACACACATACACACAGAAATTTGTCGAATGATTCACTACTTGTACACACACACACACAGTAATGAACATCATGACAGAACAAAAACGCATAAGACATATAATAACTGGAAAGAGATATGACACACACGCGTCAAATTGTCTTCTTTAACTCTTTCTCAACACGGGTAATTCACACAAACACACACACACACATCTACATACGTACATACACATGGTGTGTAGAAAAAATATTACCAGGTATGACTGTGACCTCATACATATACACACGTATCGTACAAGCATGAAAAGGATGATTCACGCCATCAAAAAACGACGACAACATCAATCATAAATAATAAGCATAGATTTTTTTTGCGTTTTAGATGAAAGAAAGTACGCTAGCAGAAAAGGAAACTTTTGGTGTACTTTGGTTGGGAAGTCTGTACTATGCACAAATTGGTAGGGATTTGAACTGTTTCAAGTTTGACTACAAACTAATGAAAACCAGGGGGAAGGGGACAGCTACTTCGTCCTTTGTAAAAAATTCGTCCTTGTTTGAGACTCTTCAGTAAAATGTACCCACGACCCCGGAACCTTCAGAATTCCCTAGTTATCAATGGTCCTTTAACTAAAACCAATCCGAGATCGAACTTGAAACAAATTGGTTGAATAAAAAAGTTATGATAGCTGAAATACAAAAGACGCAAGTGCATACATATACACAAAAGTTTGATGACGATATTAGTCGGAAATCATGTAGAAATGGGTTCCGGTTTGAATGTTAGGATGGTAAATACAGTTACTTCATAGCCTCCTAACCTGTTGAAGTGTTCGAGACTGAGAGGAAACAAAAAATATCTAGTCAATGTTTACCTAATCCAACATAATTGCACAACGGTATCCACCTTGACTTCGACTGAATCCCCATAAATAGAACAATCAAATAAATAGTAGCTATAAAATAGGATATGATCTTAGTTAATAAGATTAAGTTAGACAAAACAAAATCACTAAAATTAAAGGGGAACAAAAAATAGTGGTTTAGGTTATTGGGAGCAATAACTTTAAAGCTAAATATACCTTGTATTTTCCTGATACAGACCTGAAGAAGTAACAGCATACAACGTGGTATAATTATAATCAGATAACAGTTCAACATGTAAATAAATGCTTAATATTACTCTTCTGATCCAAGTTTTGAAGCTTTAAATTTTGATAGCAGAGATTACGTTTTGGAATATTACAGTTTGTGGGATGTCATTTAGAGAACCATTCATTAATGATAACCATGGAGGCAATGGACAGCTAGATCATTTCGACACTGTACAACTATTATCCAGTGAAGCATTGAACTAATTGGATATTAATACCACATGAACTCCAGCAGCTAATAAAGAGATTCATAACTAGGAGTCAAAACAACCAATCAGTAATCCATTGTTTTCTAACAATCCACTACGGAATCCACCTTGAAGTTTCGCCGCTAATACATGGGAATCAGCCTATTAAAACCATTTTATAGACGAAAGGAGTAAGTAGCCAGTGTCATATGTTTCAATGCTTAATTCTACTGATATTGGGGGACAAGACTTTTATTATTGGCACATACATGATATGAAGCCATCCTTTGTTGTGTGACCCAGTGTCCAATGTCCAATTGAAGCACCCATTGAATCATTTAGACGAACAAATTATAATAATAAGCAAGAAATTGTCTTTTAAAGGGTAAGTACATGTATTATTATTTCATGCATAAAACTTTCTGTGAATAGTGGCCAAATCACATTGTACAACTCTAGTGTAATCACATAACACCGTTACCTATTCGTATAAAATACAGTCAAAGCTAAATTGATGGAAATTGAGTCACTGTAATTGATTTGGAGCTATACTTCACTGAATATCTCTTAGATACTGACTTTAAAAAATTGCAAAGTCTTCAGACAGAAGACAGACATATTCCTCTATATTTCTCAGATGAATAGTCAAGGAATTCATATGAATAGGTATCATAATATCTATCTAGCCATTTGATAGTACTACTGTGGTGAGAGCTGGCTGCTAGTCAAAGTTGGTAGACAGTAATTGACGTCAAGTTTTATGTCCCCAATATTGGTGGTGAGAAAATGAGAACAAAGCCTTTGCGTAGGCGAATACAGTTAGCATATAGATGATCTGACACAGCCACAAAGAGATGCAAGGTTAACTCTCTGTGAGAAATAACCAATCAAAAGACTGTATTTTCCACTAACAATAATCTACGATAATGTATATTAAAATCTATAAATATGTGTTGATTTTCCTTAATAAACGATCTGTTGCCTGGCTCTTGTCTTCTGTTGTTGCACTACTACTCTAGATAAAACTACTCATCAACGGAAATGATGACTAAAAATACACAACACCTATCTCGACCACAACAAAAGTCGGTGAAGTTGGAGATTCTCATCAACTAACACACTTGTCTTCCCTTAATCCAAATCCAATGTTTACGTTGATTGATAGGAAAGTGGTAGTAATCCTAACCAATTATTCTACTATTCTGTAGAGTCGCAATGTTAAACAGAACGCTTAGATTGACATAGAGTTTTAGTATTTAACTGGCATTTTATCAAACAATGTATATCCTCTGTTTACGCATCATCATATGAAGTTAAGCGACTCAGCCATTTAATCAACCATCACTCTTTCTCTCAGCTGTCTGTGAAATTCGTCATTCATAGACTTTTTTCAGAGAAATAAACAAAATTTATTTAAATCAAGCATCAGTGTATCATAATCTATCTTAAATAAACAACACTACACAATCCAAGTGATGAATAAATAAAGTGACTGGTCTCGTGTGTGATTGTATGTGACAAATATTGTACATAAACAAATGAACAAACACGAATAAACTTAACGAAGAGAAGTTTTGTTTAAGAGAGAGGCAGGATGACTAATTTATGCATGGGGAAAATATATTGATTAGTTGACCATGTATATATATATATATATATATTTGTAGTGAAGGGATGGGCATTTTATGCAAATAACTTTAAATTGGACAATATTTTATAGTCTAAATAGAAAATTACACACTATGTTTAGCTATCGCTTTGAAAACGAGATTCGACTTTCGTCAATATTTCCAAGTGTTGGTATGTAGGGATTTGATTGATTTCAGATTTGGATTATGAATTAATTTCCGTTAGAGAACCATTGAAAACCAAAGAGTACTGGACAGCTGCTTCGTCCTTGTTCGGGACTCTTGGGCATTACGCACCCACCACCCCACCAGGAACCTAATCCGGTACCTTCAGGTTTGTATGCCATTCAATCACTGGCCGGAATTCCACAGCATAAGCTGGGTGTGAGGACAGACGATCACTGATGATTTTGGCTGATGGTAGCGCTACATATCGTGAATTGGCAGAAGTTAGCATAGATGGGCCATTGGATTCCATCCTAGTAGTTGAAGGGTGTACGAGTTCGTCTTATAACCTAAAGATACTGGGTCCGATTCCCGTTGGGGTCATAGGTGTGTATTGATGAAGAGTCCCGAACATAGACGAAACAACTGCCCATTACTCTTTAGTTTTCAAAGGTTATCTAACTGATTTCAGCTCGTGATCGAAAATATTCTTAATATTGTCTACAAAATTATAGTCATACTAAAAAAAAGGCAATATGCAAAATAAGAAAATAAAACCATTGTATTGTATTTTGTTAGACAGCTAAGATATTGCATAGACGCCAAGAGTAAAGCCAAATGATTATCTTTAAGCTCAGATGACAACACAGCAATATTCAAACATGTGTCGCCACGGTTGCTGGTGACCATGACACGTTCTTTATGAATACTTCACATCATCTGTATCATTTAGGTGTTTAATCTCTTCTAGGTGAACTTTCTATGTTTACAAATTCGGTTCTGAATGCCAGATATTCACATCTACCGATTCACATCTGTATTAACTATGTGCTGAGAACAGAATGTTTATGTACCAGGCTATGAGACCAGGTTGAAGTAGGCGGAGTGGGTATCGAAGGTATGACCTATTCGTTGAAGAGTAAGTGTTCAGGCCAATGCGTCACATCTTCTATCAGCGTGAATACGGCAAATAAGACTTACTTACTTAGCACATGTTGTGAATGCGTGACAATATTAAAAGATTTCTAGGAGAAGATGAAAGTCTACCTACCGCCTTGGCAGTAATACATCATTCATGGATGAAACTGATAAGAGTTGAATATCAAGTTTTGGTTGGTTTATACAGATGTAGGTGAATTCCACTGATCACGTTATAAGAATGAGAAACTATGTGTTATCTAGTTATATTAGACAGAAACGGACAAGCAATCGGAAATCGCTATTTGGTCTTTAGAGAAGTTACTTATTGCCTTCCCATATCGAACCGTTGTCACAACATTATTATTATTATTGCCAATCAAATCAACTAATATCACACGTAGAAGGGTTCCGGCTTTGTACATAGGACCAGTTACAGCACAATAAACACAAATATACACACGCAAGTGCATTTTAGTAACTATGTGCATTTTCTAAGATAGAATATTGTGAACCCAATAAAACTAATACATAATTTTTAGCAAAAAACTAATATTATACAGAACAATGGTTTACCTAATAGTTGATTAAAAGTTGGTCTAGCTTTTGGTTCATGCGCCCAACATGCTCTCATTACAGCATCATAAATTGGATCTGGACATGTATCTGGCTGATCTAATCGACCAAATTTCGGAGCATCAATCATCTCTAATATCTGTCGTCCAGTAAGACCAGCCCATGGTGTAAATCCATAGGTGAATATCTCCCATAGTGTAATCCCATACGCCCACATATCTGAAGCTGTTGTGAATAGTAAATCATGTATACACTCTGGTGCACACCAGGCGATAGGCAGTTTAAGGTTGACATTGAAATTTGATTGATAATACGATTTGCCAAGTTGAAGAGCACGACTCATGCCGAAATCACTGATTTTCACCTATAGGCAAGGCAAAAATATTTAAAAAAGTTTCGAACATAAATAAATTTGTAACTAGAGGATCATGTTACGGTTCAGCTAATAAGTCAAAATCAAATACCTAATGGTCATCAACTTTTGCGAATTAATAATAATAATAATAGCTTCATGTTAAACAGTACTTTTAGAACAAATATGGAATTTTTAGCATGTAGTAGTACAGTACAGGATTGCATGTTATATTCTCATTACAAGGGTAATTATTAAAACAGGACATTTGCATTGAAAATATTGCTCAATAAGAATATGAATACAAAATTAAATTAAGTGAAAATATTAACAACAATGTAACAGTGAAAAAAATGGCGCCATTTACTTCGAGTTCCGTAGTAAGTTGGTAATCCCCTGCCTTACACTTTTCTTATCACATAAAATGTGTGGCCTGCCAAATAAGGTATTGTAAACTTTTTGTACTTAGTCATCCGAGCATACAGTCTTCTATAGTTGCTTCTAGTTCTACCCAATGAGATGCAAGGAGAGTTATGTATAGAGACAATGCTCAGAGTTTGATAAGATAATATTTGCTAATTTCTTGCAGGAGTCCATGTGTCGATTGTCTACAATAGTATTAACGAGTTGGTTTAGCGACACTCCACTCGCCCTACTGATAGCTTTTAGTGCCCTTTGAAATCTAAGAAAGGTTTTCTTAAGTAGCCGAGGGAAGATTAAGAAGAAGCAATAAAGTAGCATAGGTAGAATACAATAATTAGCAAACTGTAACAGTAGTAGAGACGGAGTGATTGCAGATCATCTTAACTTCCTTAAGTAGAACGGTAAATGATATATCTTTCTGGAAACTAACATGATGTGAGAAGACCACGAAAGATAAGAGGAAATACACAATCCAAGGTATTTATCATTCGATTTCGTTTCGACTTCTGTGTCACCTATGACAGTGGAACCATGCAAACTAACCAGCTAATGTAAGTCGCGCTTGCGCCTGGGAGTGAAATTAACAACCTGAAATTTTGAGGGAACAAGGTTAAGACCACTTAAAAAGGACTGTAACAACAGAAGACAAGGGCCAGGCAACAGATCGTTTATTAAGAAAAATCAACACATATTTATAGATTTTAATGTACATTATTGTAGATTATTGTTAGTAGAAAATATGGTCTTTTGATTGGTTGTTTCTCACAGAAAGTTAACCTTGCATTTCTTTTTGGCTGTGTCAGGTCATCCATATGCTAATTGTATCCGCCTACGCAAAGCCTTTGTTCTCATTTTCTCACCACCAATATTGGGGACATAAACATTGACGTCAATTACTGTCTACCAACTTTGGCTAACAGCCAGCTCTCACCACAGGACCACTGACTAATTTCTGATGAAAAGTTATTCATTTTTGAACAGTCTGACTGAGAAGTGTGTGGTGATATCGGTAGACAGCTGTTCTCACACTCAAATTGGTGAACACCACTAGTGAAGACCTTTTACCAGAGCCACATCAAAGCAAATGAACTGTATGATGAATAAGCAGGTGATGAAAATCATAAACCATTCGATTCTAGACCAGTGGATAGACTACAGCCTCCACATCGTGATATCTGACTGTCCTTTTTCTTCATCTTTAGTGGAATCAAATGAGTACTACCTAAGACCCCATCCATTCGGTGCCCCCTAGACTTCAATAGGTCTGTACCCGGAGTCAGTTTATGACAAAATCTACTTATGACAACTTAAAATCCTGGATTGTTTGAAGTGTGCAACTGAGAAATGTCTACTTTAACTTGATTAGGAACACTTCAGAGGAAAACATCAGTGTACAATAACTCGATTCGATGTCATATTTACTTTTGATGGCTGGTACATAACTAAGAAATCTTAATCATACTTCGGAAACTATCGAATGCTTATGTTAAAATTAAAGCACTGTTGAATTTTTTAGAGATTCGTCAAAGAGAACTTAGAAATGATATTGGATGATACATTTGACAATATGCACTTCGTGTAGAAATCTACGTTCACTGATTACTTATGGCATGCTTCTTAAATATATTATGGGATAAAAATACGAGATTGTTCCTGAAGTGACGACTTTTTGGTAATGTCTGACAGTGGTATCTAGATTGGACGTTCCGTCACTTTTAGGACTGATCAGTTGGATGCACCTGCTTCCCACTGGGTGGAGTGATGCTATCTATCTGCATTGAGATTCAAATAAAGATGTTCAAATCGGTCGTCCATTTAAAAAAAAATATCAACAGGAAATTAAAAAGTATGAATTAGAAAGGCTTTCTGTTTACATTAAACATGGCATCCTTCCTCTTCCTGTCATTCACGAACAATATACTAAAGGTAATGATTAATTAAGGCAAACCATAGTTGTAATTTTATTGTAACTACAGTAAAGTATCCTTTTGCGTTCACATTCCAAGTTTATGCATAAATGTAATCCAACAAATGGTATTGTTTATAATATGATAAAGAAAAAAAAGAGAGAAGAGGATTGTGTCTTATTGTAAAAATGAAGAATGGGTATAGAATTTGCAATCAGATGTAATTAGGTAAGCGAGCAATAATGTAAACCAAGTACACAGCAGGTGGAATTATATTTACAACTTGAATGATGTAATGCAATGTACTGTACTGGCACAGGTGGACACATGAGACCAACCAAGTTGTCGATCAACAATAGGAAGAATTAATGATACTAGATATTAAAACAAATGTTATATTAAGGTGAAATTTGTTAGAGAATGTATAAATTTACCAGAGTAGATTTCATTCAATGTAGTGACAACATCCAGCCTCAACTAAGATGGCTACTAACGCATGCCTTCTCCGTCCAACAGTGTTAGCCGATATAGGATTGTCCTGGTAAAAAGTTAGGGTTGGATCACATCAGAAAACATGGAATCACTCCATGAAGTCTTTAACTGTCAGAAAATAGGTGAATGGTGACTAGCAGGGGAATCCAAGTGGCGTATTTCGTCCTATTTGGGGCTTGTCAAATGGATGTACCTGCGTTCCTCAGTGAGTGCTGGTTTTCCCACCTCTTGTCTTATGAATTATTTAATTCAATTTAGATTTTCCCATCGACTGATCATACCGAAGTGCTCGGTCTCAAGTGGCTCTAGTGGCTGAAGTAGTCTAGTGGATAAAACTTTGGCGTTTGAAAATATGGGCACTGGATTCGAGCCTCAGTGGGAACACTACCACTCACTGAGGAGTGCAGGTACATCCAGAAGACGGGTCTCAAATGGGACGAAATGCGCAACCTGGATTTCACTGCTAGTCACTATCTACCAACTGACTTCAAATAACATGGCCAGACATCGTCGAAGCATCTGCGCAAGGAGCCGACATTTCAACTTGAGACCGAGCACTTCGGTCCAATCAATCGACGGGAAAATCTAAATTAAATTAAACAATCTTTGACTATTAGTCGTCTGAATCAGCCACGTAAGGAGATGTAGACTGCCTGGCTGGGGTTTTCGAGATGTTAAGAATCTATAATGGTAATTGTTGGTGATATGGCTGGAAACTACTGTCAATAGTGCGGATGAGCATTCATCACCCGTTGTTTCCTAGACGATCCCTTAAACTCTAAACATTCTATCTTCTGCACACTCCTGCTTATTATAGTTTCTATAGTTTTCCTTACCTTTGTGTGTTTCTATGAAGTGTGACAACTTAAACTGGTGCTGTACGAAGTTCAATGATTAAAACTAAAACTGGTGATTAACCGCATGGGAACACTCAGAGTCTGTTGTAAATTGACAACTGATCACAATCAAGGTTTTCAGGAGAGACACTTTTATCACTCATAGAGAATTCAGACGAACTGACTTCATACTGTAGTCTGCGCCGAAGATTTTGTCTAGCAAGACTATGAAAGCTTTGCGACTAAACCGTCCAGATCAGAAGACACAACTACACCAAAATCTTCTTCATATCTACAGTTTCTGATGTTTTTTTCTCCTATTACTATGTACTTCATAAGACAAAAGTGTAGTATGACAACTCGCATAGTTTTACCAGAGTTTCTAGGTTCACGGTTTCTAATACTGATAATATCTTTTAGAAGGGAATAAAAGAATCAATGAAACCAAATTAGCTTTTTAACTACCCAAAGCTCTCCCTGGTTTTCACAGGTTTCCTAAATGTTGTCATCAGTTCTTCAGGAAATATATCTTGAAATCAATCGCCTCTTCCACTTATATAGGTAGCACAGTTTCAACCACATGTGCAACAGATGAGGATGTCAAAGTTGGGGTTGGAAAGGCAGGGAAGTGGTTCATCATTACACTAAAATCAAAGTCGAAGTCTACTACATTCAGAATAAGGAATAAGATCCGGATCTACATTACAAATGTCAAAATCAGTGCTTTCGTATGGTTCAGAGACTTGCCGCTCGTGAGAGTCATTAAAAAGCATTTCCAAAGAGGCTGTAGACTTCTGCCAACAGCCACCTTCGCTGGCTCGATAGTGAAAATCACACAATCTAAGAGGATTCGCAAAAAGGAACTCGTATAGGCGACAGAAAACCAACCAATAATGTATCGCCCCAAAAATACGCTGAGGAGATCATTGTTGATTGATAGCATGCGCCAGGCACTCGAGTGAAACCTGAGTTGGAAACAACGGTTTGGGAGTCCTGCAAAAACAACAGAATGAAATGGAGATGTGCTGCGGGAACCTTATGTTCGACTGGGAACCCAAGGGAATAATAATAATATATAATGCCTACAAGACACATTAGGGTGAGGTGGTCAACAGGCAACTTTACTGTTTTGTACACCAAACAGAAAGGTTATACTTAAAGACTATGGATAACCATCCATCTATCTTCAGGTTCGAATATACACCAATAAAAAAAACACTTAAAACAGGATTCATACACTGACTGACTAACTGGGTAATACAAATGAATGGTGACATTAACAATGGTATTATTTAGTAATAAATTAACAAACTTACAGAATCTTTAGAAAATACTAGAATATTTCTAGCAGCTAGATCACGATGTACAAGACCACACTCTTCTAAATAACTCATTCCACGTGCAATTTGTATTGAAAATTTATGTAATACAGGCACGGAGAAACTTGATCTCAACTCTGTTTCACGAAGACATTCCAGTAAAGATCGAAGTGGTGCAAGTTCAGTAACCTGAAAATTAAATTTTTGTTTTTTTTTAAAGATTAATACGATTCTGTTATGAAGAGGAGAGAAAAAAAGGGTAATGATAATAATAACAATCTTTTAACATGAACACAACACTAATCAAATAATGGATGAATTTATGCTTTCATAAGTAAAAATTGGGGGAATTATCCTGATGTTATTATTTTTTTTATTACTTCGTGGATTCCTCTTCAACTGACCTCTACAAGCTGAATAATACCACGAGGAAAAATATACATTACAAAAATGGGTTTCGAATTGCTTGTTATTATGTTGACAAAGTGCGATTGATAGGAACTGTAAGTAACCTAAGCCCACAGAATGATTTGGGAAGTTAAATTATTAAGCGTTAACAGGACTGAGTGTGTTCCGAGTGGGCTTCAACAGAGCATCTCCACTTTATACTGTTCTTTACCTTCATTACTAGCTGGCTCCATGATTTAACATATCCTCTCATCTACACTTCACACGTTCTCTTCAGTGTCCTTGAGAAGAGAGCATAAGAGCTTTAGTTGCTGTGAGTGATACCATGAGAGCCACTCCTTCACAGTGTGCTTGTGGGTTGTCGTCTGGTTGACTCTCGAGTTAACAATTTGGGAAGTTCACATCCATTCCACCTGGTCTCATAGATTTCTATATTTCTGTTGGATTGATTTTCTAGCATGGATTCGCTAGCTCCACTCCCAACCTTCTGTCTTTTCCCGAACCGGCTAGAAAACTAGGTGAGGTTGTTGTATTGCGTAACATTTTTTAACGGCATACACTTTCAAGTCGAACTTTGTTTCAGTCCACATTTTGAACTCTGGTTTTCTTCAAAAACACCAGTCTTCTTATCCTATAAACAGTTAATCCTTTTAAAACTTAATGATTTAACTTCCCAAATCATTCTGGACTTATGTTACTTATAGTTCCTCCTTATGTGAACAACTCATGGTCAACGTGATAAAAGTTAGCCGGAATTCGATTTTGAGATTTATATTTTCCTGGTATTGTTGAGGCTGTAAGCAACTAAAGAGGCATCCGTGAAATCATAAAAAATAGCTCATATTATTCTTCTATATTTATTGTTGTTAATTCGTAAAACTAGTTTCATATCTCGGCATTTTAATGATGTCCACAATGTAAAATGCATGACATCAGTTACTACCTAGTGTCCAATCAAAGTACCCGTTACAGTCCTACTGGAGGTCAATCACTAACCCGAATAACTCAATGGTAGCATCTGTGACGGCACCACTGGGTGACCCGGTTTCATATTTCAGAAGAAACATGAATCCCTTGAAAATACGTATCTTGCTAACAAGTGAATGACAACAAGCGTGAAATTTAGGTCAAAGGCTTTTTTCCGATTGCCCCTAATCGTATAATATCAATTCAGAGTCTACTTTTGAATGCTAAATATCAGAAAGTACAACTAACTGATTTCAATAAAAATGTGAACATACATCACAGTTCGAAACTTAACCAGATAAACGGCTGACGTTAAGATATTGTAAGTGAGCTTGCATCCTCCAAATAAAACATTTTATTTAAGGATTTTAATGAGAAATTAGTCTGTCAGAAAGATAAGACATTGACAATGTGATACTGTAAGAAAGGCGATTTTCGAAAAAAAAAACAGTCTGAGAGAGAAGTAGCCCTGCAGGATAAATAAGGATGAAAGAGTAACAAGATATTCTTCATGTCAATAACCATTTCCTTCCGACTTTAGAATTAAATTGGTTTGGAAAGCAACATCTACAGCTCTCTATAAAGAATAATGAAATAACTGACATAACTATTATTACAGAATATTTATAACAGTCTTCGAAAGTTGTACGAAGCCAAAATACAGTCACTTAGGCTGAAATATACACTTATGCTAGATTTATCTAACTGCCATTAATCCAATAACTAGGCATATATGGACAGGTGAAACAAAAAAGACCTTAGCAGCTGTGAATCCAACATCCTAACCAACAGTGTCCAGCATTATACTGTCAATTATAGCATAGTGATTATACTTAGAGACACTGTAAATCGAAACTCTCCGATCACGACATTTTTTTGTAACTAAGCAACTGAATTATTTACCCCTCCCCCTTTGGATAATTCGCCTGCAACACTTGGCCTGAATTAAAGGAAGTTATCAACTGATGAATAGGTTGTTCGTAAAATCAGTAACTTTGTTCGTCATCAATGGGTAAAGTACTTTAAAATTTCAGATATGAGAATTACATGACTTCCATCAAGAGTCTGAACACACGCCACTTCTAATGGGTAGTGTCTACAATCAAGAAACTGAAGTGTAAAGCACAGTTTCTTTCCGACTAATTCGAACAAAATTTGAATCAGATAAATGCTTTTCTTACACACAATTCATTGTGAAATTAGCGCTACAGGGGGGACAACGGAAGACCGGCGATTAAACCATCCAGCTTTCGAAAAACATACCAAAAGCCCTAAAAACCATTCAGCTAAACTAGATGGAGTCCCAGTAGCTGAATGGTCGTCTGCCAGCTTGCCTCATAACCGGAAAGTTCTGGGTTCAAACCCCCTAAGGTGGATGCGTACTGTGAAGAGGTCTCAAATTAGGACGAAACAGCTGGTATTCAATGGTACCCTAACTGATGCCAACTCCTAATCGAACCTGTAGCCAATTAAATCCCTACAAACCAACACTTGATAAACCATAAATCTCCATTATTTTGAACACATTACCTAGTAAACAGCTTAATGGCTATAAAAAAGGATACTGTTTCCTTGGTAAGGCACTACAGCCAAATAAATGCTTCGCTTTTATGCCTGCCTGCCTACCACTCACTCACTACGCAGTGAATTAGTCATGCAAACAAATAGATAGATAGATAGACGGACGGATAGACAAACAGACAGACGAAAGCATAAAAATTATTTGACCAGTCTGTTTTTCGTTTTTTTGCTTCATTTTTTTTGTTTACACTATTATAAATAATTTTTTCAATGATTATATGATTCGATTCAACTCTCTAATTGTCTATTCTTATGGAGAGAAAAAAACAGATAAGAAATATAGTAAAATGTTGAATGATGAATACTGACTTTAAAAAGGATTCAATGTCCAATGTGTAATAATTCAAACAAAAAGAGACCAGATGATAAGAAATACATTCAGAATTATATTGAAAAAAAGAGTAGAATTGTTGTCTTAGATAATAAAACAACAGATGTGAAGAAATTGAAAGCAGTGATACACTGAATGAACAAAAACTAAAAAAAGAGTGAAATCTGATCTTTTCCAGACTGAGATATGATAGCTTACAGGAGTTTTATTCTATGAAAAAAAAAGAATAATAACAATGCATTCGACAGTTGAAATAATAAAGGAAAACACTTAGTAAAACAAAAGCATTTGAATTGTTTTACTGGTTGTATTAACCGATCTCAGGCATAACTACACAAAAAAGACTCTGTGCCAAAATACTCAGCTCATAGTAGCGGATCAAATGGCAAATCTACGAATCATCATCATCATCATCATTGAAGAGGGCATAGAAAACCGTTGACAGTGTTGACCGCGGAGTAATTTGAAGAGACTGAATTAACACTATGGTGTGCTGTGTCCCAAATCTTTAACAACCTCATTCAACAGCTGGCTATATGACAATGCAACATATTAAGTGATGCATCATAGCGGAAAACCAAGCGAAGTCTTTGAAGTGAATACAGGAGTAAGGCACGGCTGCCTAATATCATCACTTATGATATGCCTAGTTGTAATGGAATGGATTATGTGAAAGACCACAGTGAACGAGAAGACAGGAATACGCTAGATTACAGATAAGAAAACTCCAGAAGATCTGGGTTTCGCGCGTTGATGATTTATGCTTAGTGTCACACAAACTAGAAGATTTGCAGGCGAAAATCAACAAACTGATTGAAGAAGCAGCAAAGAGAGTGAACATAGAGGAGACGCAGAGGTGATGAAGATAACCAAACAACAACAAACACCAATCACTACCAAGAGAAGGAATATGAAGGAGGTCACTTCATTGACCTATCTAGAAAGCATCTTTTCAACTACAGGCACCGTGAACGGATGATGTCAAAATCAGAATGGGAAAAGTGAGACAGACCTTCATCACTCTGAAAGCCGGTTCGGAAATCTTCTGAACTCAGGGTAAAGAACAAAATTGGAATTTTCAAAACCAATGCTAAGTCAGTCAGTTCTTCTATATGGGTCAGAAACTTGACGTGTCACCAAAAGCGTTTCCAATCTCTTGCTGCAAACTTTGATCAACAACTGCGTTTGCTGGCTCCATACTTAAGATCAGGTGGCCAGGAAGAATTAGCAACAAGAAACTCTGAGCATGAACCAGTCAAGAACTTATTACTCAACAACTATGCCGAAGAAAATGGAAACGGATGATCGCACGCGCACTGAGGAGACTGTTCGATGACATCGCACACCAAGCGTACCCTCAAGTGGAACATGAATGGGAAATGACGAGTTGGGAGTCCGAGGGTGACATGGAGGAGGTCGTGCGAGGAAGAGATCCGAGACTATGAGCAATCGTGAGACCAGCTGGAGAGAAGTGCAGAGAACAGGACGAAATGGAGTGTACCAAGTGAACAGTAATAGTAATAAATAATATAATACTAGAGGAATGGGAAGAAAATACAAAAACACCCACCTATACCTTGTTTAACTCGTATTTAATATGAAGACAATTGGCTGAAGACATATACTACTGATTGATATGAATAGTTGGAGACCACCACTCACGTCAACCAGAATCGCCAGCTAATTAAGTCAATGAGATATAAACAAGGGTCAGTTGTTTCGCTCACAGCTATAATCAACTGTTTACTCGGTCTTAACTCAGCCCAGCGGGGTGAATCAGTTCAAACCAGGCAAATTTCCGACTAGCTAGATAGAGGTGAAAACTGTTTCATGTTCTCCAAACTTTATTCAGCATTTGATCGTGGAGGTTTAATCCCCAGCACCAACACGCCTCATTAAGAGGAACACTAGACAATTTCCATTCTATCTAATCATGACTTACAAATCTTCATCGTTGTTTCAATAGAGAAAAATCATTTTTCGAAAAACGTGTCTACGAACAAGCAACTTTGCGAAAGTAAATAATTTTCCTGCCTCAGCAGCTAACTATAAATTTGAATAAGGCAAGAACGACAAATATGTACCAGGATAATATGAGCCCATTTTTTTATTATTTCAAGGATTCTTCTCTCTACTGGCTACAACCTGAACAATACAAATTACATTAAAGATTTGAACACACTTTTTCCACGATGACGAGGAGTAATTGGTGGGAACTAAGAGTAATGTGATCATATCTCCTGACAATGAAAACTACGCAGTTAAATCACCCAGCTCATAGAACACAACCATATAAAAATCATCCACCCACCTGAGCTACGAATCTTCTCTATAATTAGAAATATGTCGTACATGTGAATAAATATGCCTAATTCCTAAACTGTTACCTCATAGACAACTACTAGACCTGAGTGAGACTTAATCTATGTGTTCGTTAATATATTGACAAACATGAATAACCGTCAAACCACCAGGAAATAATATAACACAATGCACTGCATCTAAAACACATCATAGAAATGGGCTAGTTACACTTCTTGAACAAATGTAAGACTATAATGATTTTCTTGTGTTCATACAAACCATACCTATTACACTGACGCACATGAAATTAGGAGTCCTATGCATTAATACCTCTTTATATACCAAATGTTGTGTAGACTGGTAAACGAAAAGGACGATTTAAATAGTACAATACAGGTATGACTTTATGCTTGGAACTCTTGGACTTGAAGCAATATGCCCTCTGCAGCCTAGTGCTTCATGGCTTTAAATCAATACCTAACCGACGCTGGTATGTGATGCATTTCACAGTGGGAATAAGATAGATACAGGAATACGTCGCAGTATTCTACCCTGCTACATACATCATAATTGCTTGAAAAATTGAAGGCTATACAAACGGAGACAAAAAACAACAAGAAAATGTAACTGAAAGTTTGCTTTAGAGGATGAAAGATGGGAATTATGAGAATTGTGGCGATAAAAAATAGGAATGAATAAACAGGGTATGAATGTATTTGCGTCACTGCACCTGTTGTCTCGAAGTTCTGCTTCCAGTGATCACATAAACTCAGGCGAGAAATAACTACTACTTATTGGTATACCTTTGAGGAGGGAAAAGGGGGATTCGAATCCGGAAGGTATTATAACTGAAATCCTAGTGCCCAAAACCAAAAATGAAATTCACATCTGGTCTTTAATCTAGTACTTAAAAAAAAACTTATTTTTACGATAACTACATGGCGTGAATACTATTAGAGCATGAAATAAAACAAAACACGTAGACATGAAGGAGAGAAAATAAGTTAGTTATCAAGTGAGAAAGGCTTTCGAAAAATAACTCAATTTCATTACACTTTCAGAAATCCATAAACATTTTATTATCTGTTCATCATAAACTGAATAAATAGACTACACATTACGCCCCATCATAATTACCAAATGAAGTTAAATGAAACGTATCTGCAATGCAACATAAAATAATAATAATAGTAACTATCGACAGTCAATTGAAAGAGATAAAAGTAAACTAAATTTCTACTCTACAGTTAGTGTAACATAAACAAAACATTACGGGTTTTGATTACTGAAAACGAAACGTGAATAATACCAAAATGAATGATTGTATATATTTTCATGAGTTTGTTTGTAGGGATTTAATTTGTTTCAAGTTCGATCACGGATTGATATCAGTCAGAGAAGCATCGGTGGTGAGGACAAACACTCGCCATAGATAACATTGGCTGGTGCTAGTCATGTTAAAATCACGAATTGGTAGGAGTTAGGAATTTGTCGCCTGGTCATTAAGTCAGATCCCAGTGGCTGGATGGTCTACAAGTCTGACTTGCAACCGGAAAACTCTCGGGTTCGAATCCGGCTGGTGAGTGAGTACTGCCGATGGGTTCCAAAATAAGACGAAACAGCTGCCCAGTACTCCTTGTGGTTCTCTAACTGATAGCAATCTGTGAGCGAACCTGAATGATAATAGATAAATTTCAATGTTCATTTCATAACAAACCAACATCAGTTAGACACGAAGAGCATTGACCAGATATTTGATTCCAGTCTGGGACTGCTCTTCAGCAGTATGCACCCACCAAGGACTATTAGGTTACAAAACAAGTGCATTGACCGTTCATCAGCCAGTGGGATTGGAATTCAGTGAGAAGTAAACTCGAACTGCTATGAGTTCACTATAATGCGGATGCTTATCAATGGCATTTTTCAGTGGTAGACTAGATTACATTAGGTGGTTTAAGGTTACTACTTAGTAGCCCTAGGAGTAAAGAGTATCGTAGCTAAAATCTTTATCTCAGCAGTTATGTGTTAACAGAAATACCTCGATTACTAAATTGTGTATAAATAAATAATAGAATGATATCAATGAATCACACAAATGAAATATTTTTTCTAAAAAAACAGCATATTTATAAGTGCGTTTTATCTACTCAAATAATAATAATAATAATAATAATAATGACATTGAGCATGTTATACAACTTACAATCTTAATTGTATTCACTTCAATACATACTCCAAGGAGACGTACAATATCTGGATGATTTAATCGATGCATTGTGGCAATTTCATTCAAGAAATCGCATGTCTCATCACCGATCTGTTTAATATCCATTATCTTGATAGCAACTTGGACAACACGTCTTGCATCTGTATGCCATACACCCTGGAATAAATTTAAACAACACTCAAAATAATAACAAATAAAAAATAAGTAAATATTGGTTACTAAGGTATAATCATTGATGTTTCAAAGTACACTTTCCAGTCAATATACATATACTGGGCTGAATATTTTCTTGAGGCACAAAAAAATAGGCTGTTCATTTTAATTATGTATGATCTCAACACCCCTATTATATTGGTTGGTGAAAAACAACAAGACTCAGTGTTTAATTGTTTCTTTAGTTTAATTTTTTTAAAACATATCTTGACTATAATGACATTAACAACAACAGCAACGGTAGAAAGGAGTCCAAATTTAAGAAATTCTTTCACCGGTACTTGTTTGGGGTTGAAGGGGGGTAGGATTGGGAGAAAGAGCATTCACGGGTAATGAAATGAAGATCACCTGAAAATTGGAAAGGATAAAAAACAGACTTGCTAAACACTCAGCAATTTCGATTGGTCACCAAACTGATGTTACCCATAAACTAAGTGGATATTTATGTGGTTGAGTGGTTGGAGGTAGTAGACAGGAAGCCTTGGATCTACGATTTTGTGCTTGTCGGCACTCACCAGTCAGCAAGGCGTACCTGTAATCTTGAAGGAACTCATGTTCTCTTTGAGATTCGAACCAATATCACCCAGTGGTGTGGTCAGAGATGCTACCCCCGAGTTATTAACGAATAGCGACTGACTGTAGTGGATGGGACAGTAGAAAGTAACTAAAGCCATGCATCTAGTCCTTAGTTTGATGAAGACTGAATTGTAAACTTGATTGACAGAATTTAGCCCGCACCAAACGAAGAGTTAGACACATGACATTAGTTACTACCCAGTGTTCGGTCAATAGCAATGAGCTATATTTATTGTCTAAGGCCTGAAGACGCTGATTATTTATTACCAAAAACTTTTTTTAAACACAAACAGTCAGGAGGTCAACAGAGCTAGACCAGTAGGTCACAGCATCACAACAACAAGAACAACAACTTTTAAATGAATTATCAGTATTCAATAGATTAGAAAAGTTAAAAATTAAGCAGATTCCCTTTCATATATTAATAACAACAAACCAATCCTTGAAATGCACTGCATTTTTAAGTATTGGAAAAAACTTACAAATCATTGTTATATGACTCATACAAGAAATTCTGTTACACATGACAGTGAATAAGAGTGCAAAAACACATTACCATGTGTGAAACAATTGTGTGTAACTAGAAAAAGATTATCGGACAACGTACACAGCCTGAACCAATCCAGATGTTGGCTTATTTTGTGCACATTTTAGATCATTTCATAAAGTAATCGTTAGAAGGATATTCTAATTCACCTTTTTCTGTGCTTTTCTAGACAGCAAATGTTGCATTGGCATACACAACATTATACATTTCAATCATAATTTATTCTATGTAGGGATCACAATTTTGTTGACTAATCTACCCCCGTTTTCATCCACAGATGCTATTGAGGTGCAGTATAATGTAATGTTTCTTTTGTGTCTGTTAACACAAGCTTCAGTTATCTCCATTAAGGAATATGAGTGTAACTTACTAGACAAACAATATTAGGTGAAGTGGAATAGTGATGGAAAACAGTGACCAAAATATGACATCAATCCATATACGTCTGGGTCAAACAGGATGGTGTATAGATTGGAGTCTTCAAGATTCTTGGTGAAATCGACATCATACTGTCTATCAACGAAGTTCTGAACATCGACTTTTCTGCATTAAATTAGCTCCCTCACACTCACTTATTTGTGTCTATTATGATGTCAATACACACAGACGAAAACCAACAAGTTGGAAGAAGAGGCAGCAAAGGCAGGACTTCAAGTGAACATTAAGAAGACGGAAGTGATGAAGATAACCAACCAATAATAGCAACAACAACAATCACTAGTCACTAGACACCACGGTTTCAAATACAGGCATGCTGCACTGATGAGGGTATCAAAAACACAATGGGAAAGGCAAGACATACCTTCATAACTCTGGAATCAGTTCGGAAATGTACAATCACCATAAACAACAAAATTCGGATTTTCAACACCAATGTAAAGTCATTTCTTCTGTATGAAGCAAAAACTTGGTCAAGGCATCACAACAAGAGTTTCCAACAGCTTTCTAGAAACTTTCATCAAAAGGTTACTTCTTTAGCTCCATAGTGGAGATCAGATGACCAGCCAGAAACAATTATCAAAAATGAACTCTGGGAGCGAACCAACCTATCAAATATTTCAAAGAAAATGGAGACGGAGTGGAAACACGTTGAGAAGACCATCAAATGACATCTCACACTAGGCTATCGGTCGAGTGGGACCCGAATTGGAAACGACGAGTTAGGCGTTCAAGAGTGACATGGAGGAGGTCGCATGGGGAAGAGATGAGATCATATGGGCAGTCGTGGGGCCAGACTGAAAAGGACTGCACACAACAAGACAAAATGAAGACGTTCTGTCGAAATTCCATGTTCCACTCTGAACCCAAGGGAATAATAATAATAAATATATTACAATACATTCTTGTTCTCTTATTTTACGTTTACTTTTTCAAAGTATGTAGAACCCAACTGGTGAACCGCTGTAAAACATTTTCTACTGGTCTATCGATCCATTTATACCCAAGCATGAAATATCTTAGAGAGAGAGCGACGAACAGTAACAGTTTGAAGCGTGCACAGCATTGAACAATTTTCAAGGCTAACTGCAGTTGTTGGAACTTACATACTCACAAGAAGTATCCTAAGCTAATTCTATTCACTGCATGTAATGAATAGTTCCTATCCAGACATTAATGAATACAAAACACGTAGTTCAGCGAAGACGTTCTTTTCAGAGAATTCATTTTCCCCTTTATATGCACAATCGCATTTATATACACTTTTTTCCCCGATAGAGGGTAATAATAAAAAGTGATGAGTTGTTACAAACATAGTTGTCAGTTTTAGTTAATGTATAAAAGGAGTTGAATAAGTGTATTATAGTTACGCAATAAGATAAATAATTTAATGAGTGACTTTTGATAAGGATGTGCATATAAACGAAGGAAAATATGGAATTACGAAGGAGTTCTAAGGAATCGTCAGCTTGACGCACCTGTATCTTCAGTATGGCTCAAATCACTTCAAACGCCAGTGTTGTCAGCTAGATCATTCGGTACAGAAGAGCCGGCCGACGAGTCCCAAATAAGATGAAATGAGCACCATGTATCCCACTGCTGAGCACTATCAACCAAATGACATCATGTTAAACATCAGACATTGTCGAAGTGACTCACTTTTGTTAAAATTGAGATTATGCTGCAAGACTGGAATATACCGACACTGACTTAAAGATAGGGAGTGAAGTGGTGGAGCGTGTCAACGACTACTTCACTTATTTCGGAGGCAGAGTCAACTGATGACTGAGGAAATCTCATCATGGACAAAGAAAATTCGTGTGACATTAGCCAATTTACGTCATATCCGGCTGGCTATCCATCAAAAGACGTGTGTATTGCGCAGAACTTCGCTTTGTCTCCTTTTATGGCTGTGAGAAATGGCCATTGAAAGTGAAAGATATGAAAAGACTGACTTTCATTGATCATTTTTGTTTGAGTTCTACCTCGCATTTTGGGTGGTGTAATAGGGTGAGTAATATTTAGGTGGTTAGGCGTTGAGTGTTAGGTAAGGAGGGAGGAAATAAGTCGAGGTTGTGAAGCTGCATTGATTAAGATAGCTAGGACATGGGTTACGAGTGCCCAGCTATCACCTTCCTCGGCGGACAATGTTACCTGACAAAGGATCAGGTTGGAAAAGAGCTAGTGGTGGTCAAACCAAAACATAGCTTCATCAACTAATGAAATCCACAACAGTTCGTTCAAGCTGACCAGCCACGTAGGGAGGTGCAGACTTCTTGGCTGGTTAGGGTCTTCGGGATGGTAAGGGCCAATGACGGTTAGAGACAACTAGTGATAGGGCTAGAAACCGTTTTCACTGATGTCGCAGATGCATCCACTCTCTGTGATCTCCCATATTCATTTAACCCTAATGTTTATCCGTGTTATGATTCTTTCTCCTGCATATTTCTACTTATTATGGTTCTTTCGAATCTCTTTTTTTTCTCTCTTTTCTCTGTACATGGAGTGTGACGGCTTGAATTGCCACACTTCTGTGCAAATTTCTATGCTGGAAGTCAGTCAATTAGTAAGTTGAAGTCTTCGTACTAGGGGACGGATTATCAGAGACAGAGTATTTCATTTCAGTCAATTGAAGTCATTGAACAGGAGATTCAAATTACCTTATACAGATATTATTCAGTCTACTCATCATTAGACGTTATTGTTTATGGGAAATAACACTGTTGTTCAATTCATCATCAACACTGCTGAGTTAACCAATGCAAATAGATATAATACTTCCCCTTTATTTAACAACAATAACAATTACTCATCAATTTAACCAATAACCCCACAAGCTAATAACAAACAGTCAAACAATAATATAATACACACACTGAATTATTGATCAAAAACAATGAAAGAGAATGCGACATTAAATTCCCAGACAGGATATTATCTTCCCTTTAAGACAAAAATATCGATAGAATTTCCCCTCAAGAAAGAAAGGAAGAAAGAGACAAATACACATATATCCCCCTCCCCACCCAACCCCAATTACAACTTAAATAAAAAAGGGACAGCCAAATATTATATGTACTGATATTATACTGCCAGTCAATAATAAGGAGCATAGAATAACGGAAGAGGAAGAACAATTCAAAACAAAATTTAAATAACTCACCAAAAATACACACACACACGCGAACACATATATGCACAATCACACATATGCATACACACAACAGACAAAGTACGTAGATCTCCAACATGTGTGTGTGTGTTGAAAACAAGACGACTGGAATGTCAGTAGCTGAAAGTTGTCACAAATCTTAAGAACACGGTAGTCACGTGGGTGTACTGACTAATTCGGCCGTTGATTAATCTAAGGAAATAATAATTA